CCAAGATGAAGAAACCTGGGGTCAACCTCCATCACTGACTCCCTAACCCTGGGTAGTTTTCCTCCACAGGAAGGCAGGGCTGATAGCATCTTGCAGAGCTGTCATGAGAACTGCATGAGTTGGTTGATGCTAATTGTAATATTACTTGTTTGAACAAAAGACAATTTGGGGAGGCTGAGGCCCAAGTCCTACTTGAGTTTTCTCCTGGTCCCTAGGCCTCTCCAGGACTGCTGGCAGCTGCCTTACAGCAGAGCCAGGAGCTAGCAAGTAAGATTCTTTCTCTCCCCTTCCTCCTCCCACCCTCCCTGGGGCATCCCCATCTGAACCTTTCCCCCATCTCTTCTCACCAGAATTGGGTACTCGCTTTGCCCAAAATGGTTTCTACCATGAGGCTGTGGGCCTCTTCACTCAGGCCTTGAAGCTCAACCCTCAGGACCACCGGTAGGTTGGGGCTTGGCCACTGCGCTGGGAAGTCAGGGCAAGGTGAGGTGTCCAGGGCTTGAGTTTCACTCACTTTGTCTTCATCAGGTTATTTGGAAATCGCTCCTTCTGCCATGAGCGGCTGGGTCAGCCGGTGTGGGCCCTGTTTGATGCCCAGGTGGCCCTTACCCTGCGGCCCGGCTGGCCCCGGGGCCTCTTCCGCCTGGGCAAGGCCTTGATGGGGCTGCAGGTAATGGATCTGACATTGGAATTAGAGGAGGACTTTGAGTGGAATGGGTTGGGGACTGGGTCTACACCGGCATTTTCTAGGTAAGCTTGAAGTACCACAATGTCACAGTGCCAGTGGTACTAGTAGCTGGGGCCAATTCAAGTACCTTGGTACCTGACCCCCCTCCCTTGCCCGATACCTGAACTTTCCTCTTTCCAATCACTCTGGGGTGAAAGCGCTTTGAGGAGGCAGCTGCTGTGTTCCAGGAGACTCTAAGAGGCGGGTCCCAGCCTGATGCAGCTCGGGAGCTCCACTCTTGTCTTCTGCAGCTTGCTGTGGTAAGGGGGCAGCAAGAATTGGATTGCAATGCCAAGCGGTGCTACCTTCTGCCTCGGGGGCAGCAGTGGGTGTGATGAGGGGCAGGGCTGTGCTACTAGGTTGGAGTGTATCAGGTGCCCTCCCTTTATGTTCTCAGCAGGATCAGCGAAGAGGATACTGTGCACCACCTCCGCCGACTGGATTTCTCAAGCCAGCTGCCCATACTGAGCCAGGGGCCACAGGCCTCCTGTCCCCCAGTCACCCACTAAGCACTGCTCCAAGGGCCCCTGGCTTTCTGTCTCCACCTTTGCATTATCTGCCACGTCACCTGAGCCTCTCCAATGGTATCCTCCCCCAGACTCAAAGTAGAAGACCTCCTCTCCACTTCCAGAACCCCTCAAAGGGCTGGGGCATCCAGGGACTTGGGCCTCAGCGTCTACCTCAGGCTAGATGAGGGTGGACCTGTCCTTCATAGGACAAGGCCATGTTTGTATCCCACAGAGGTAAGGGACGCTGTATGGTGGCTGTTTCCTGCATATTTTGGGACCTTGTACTTTAAAACCATAGTTAGAAACATTCCTGGGAGTCATTCCTCTGGCCACAGAGACCTTCTTATGAGAGAAAGGAGCCCCACGTCCACGGAAGCAGCCTTTTTCTTGGGTTTTCAAGCACGTGGCTTCCTTAGCGTCCTCTGGGGGCAATAAGGGAAAACAAAATTCAAGACTCAAAAAGGGAACTGGCCCTGGCTGGGTGGCTCAGTTGGTTGGAGCATCGTCCTATATACCGAAAAGTTTCAGGTTCAATCTCTGGTCAGGGCACATACCTAGGTTGCAGGTTCGATCCCCAGTCAGGGTGCATACAGGAGGCAGCTGATCATTGATTCTCTTTCTCTCTAAAAATATAATATCCTTGGGTGAGAATTTTTTTTTAAAAAGGGAACTATACAAAAGTTCAGGTTTTAAAGCTATAATAGATCCCGCAGGGGGGCATTTGGGGCTTGCTCTGCTCTTGGCCCTGGGGGACTCATTCACTAACCAGAGCTCTGTGCTCAGGAATCGGGTCATGGTGATGAATAAGGCTGAGTCCCGCCCTTCACCTCTTCCTAATCCCAGTTCTTGCCCTGTTTTCTCTAGCACGGCCCTTCATACCTTCTTTCCTGCCCATATTTCTGTGTACATTTGGACCTATCCTTCGCCCACTGGTCTGATACTTACCTCCTCCAACTGCTAGAAGATTCGCCAAGGGTTTGCATTTGGGAATCCCCTTACCAGCTCTTGCCTGGAGTTGGCAGGGCCCTTGCACTTCTGCACTTCCCCACTTCTGGCTCCCCTGCTGATGGGGCTTCAGCAGGCACCCGGGCTGCTGTCACTTGGCCATGCTCTTCGTCCACTCCAGCACTACACATTGTAACTGGTCTTTCCTTTTCTGTATTTACTCAGCTTTCCCACCACGGGTCACTGCTCCCAGAGGTGGCTATAATTTTCTATTTTCTGTGTAAGAATCATGAGTTTCTTTTGGTTCTTGGGATTCTGGCAGCTGCCTCTGGCTGGTTCCTCTGTAGCCCTTCTTGGGACACAACTCATTTAAAAGCGGATCTTGAGGTGACTTTTAGGCCTCCCAAAATGCCCTTCCAGAAGGAACCATTCATCAGGATAAATGATTTCCGCTACCCTGTGGGTCTTGCTCAACACCACTCACACCTGGAGGTAGGAGGTGTTACAACTATAGTAGGATGAAGTCTGCCATTACTAGTTGAGTCACCTTGGGCAGGCCTGTCAACATCTGTGTCTCAGTTTTCTCATCTGTAAAATGGGTGCAATTCCTACCTCACAGGGCTGTTGTGAGGACTTCAACTGAAAGTGAGAAAATACCAAGTGCCTGGTATATAGTGACTGTTAAATAAATCAATTTTTATCTGCAACTGGCCTCCATATTCACAGTTCCCACAGTGGGAGTAGTGGAGTATGAGTGAATTGCTGCTTATTTCACACAAGACAGAATTCCTGGGACGATGGTTCTCAACATGTGGTCCCTGCACCAGCAGCATCAGTGTCGCCAGGGAACTTGTAACAAATGCACCCCAGACCTTCCACGTCTGAACCTACAAGGTGGGGTTGGGGGGCAGCAATGTTTCAGTCGTCCTCCCGGTGGTCCTGATACGCCCACCCAGGGCCATTTTGACAGAATGGGTTTGAGTTTTTTGTTTGCCCAATGTTTGATCACAACAGGTGGCAGCACTGGGCTAGAATTTAAGAATCCTCAAGTGAAGAGGGGTTATGGCTCAGAACCAATTATCTTGACTGGCTCCCACCTTCCTAAATAGAATTATTTGCCCTGGAAGTTCTTTGCTTGTGCCTGCCTGGGGAATGGGGCTGGGGAGAAGCGGTTGTTTAAGGGGTGATTCGATTACTGGCTCCACCAGAAGTCTGCCTACCTGGCTTTGTTCTGGGAGAATTCTCTGTGTTCGGAACTTCACTGGGGCTCCTGGCCTCTCAAAGAATAGCTGCCCACCACTACTGTGTGGGGTGGTCTTTACTTTCAGGCTAAGCTGGCTCCTGTTTCTTCCACCCACTCAAAGAAATGTCCCCTCCCTATCCTGGACTTGAATCTTCTCCAAAAGCCACAGGACTCCTGAAACTTTGTCCCCCCACACACGCACTGCTAACTGGTAGAGTTCACCCAGAAACCTGAGTTCTGAGTCCCCAAGTCTGGAAGGCAGGGTGGACCATCCTGATTTCCAGGGACTGAGGGATTTCCTGGGGTGTGGGACTTCCAGTACTAAAACTGGGAAGGAAAGTCCTGGGTAAGCAGGAATGAGTTGGTCACCCTAATCTAAAGGTTCCCGAGAGACCTGTAGAGGGGGACAAAGGGACTAAGCAAGGGGCCCGGACATGAACCGGAGGAGGTGTGTGTGTGTTCTGTATGTGTATTGAAGGAGCCACACAGACACCAAGAATGCTTAGTGTATATAATGGCCGACAGATTCTTAGTTCTGTGCTAGTAGTCACTGTCTGTTTCTGTCTATGATGCCATTTTTCTTCCAGTTGCCCAGGTTTGCAAGGTTGTGACTGACTCGTGCAATTTTTGGTTGCTGGGGGAATCACACGGATTCCTTTTATTTGACAACCTCCCTCTCTCCCGCTCCAAGTCTGGCCTTGAATTCTCTCTGCTCTTACCTTTTGCAGTGGCCAGAAATGCATTACTTCCTCAGTCTCCAGTCCACACTGCACATTGGCCTGCCCCAAACATTGCTCTCATGCCCCTCCCCTAAAACTCCAAGGACCAGACTGTCTACAGTACAATGCCTGAACTTCTACGCTTGGCCCTTCCCTCCTCTCTCTGTAATTTCTTTGAGTCAGGCCCAGTCACAGTGATAGGGACTGCACCTGTCCTGGCCAAAAGCATGAGCTTCTGCGTCAGACAGAGGCGAGTCCAGGCCCCACCACTCAGAAGCTTCATGACATGACCAAGTTTCCTTGGGCTTCTGTGATTGTCTTCTTATCCTTAAAATGAAATGAAAGCCTCATTATCTCATGAGGTTATTGTGAAGATTAATCAGTGTAAGACACCTGGAAGTGTTCGATAAGTGGTAGCTATTGTCTGAAAATGCCTGGCTCCTTCTGCCTTCCAGCCTTGCTCACCCTCCCTGAAATACCCTCTCCTGGGACCCCCACCCGCAAACTCGGGCCCTAGCTCAGCACCCCGGAACCCCTGAGAGTGGGACTGTGGCAGCGGCAGAGCTCGGGAAGATCCGCGGAGGACTGAGGGACTGACCCGGGGCGACGGGGAGCAGAAAGGGGCCTAAGCGCAGTCCCCTGCCGATCACTTGGGAAGGCCAGGCGTAGGGAAGGTCTGTAGCTACTCAGTGTTCTCCTTCCCGCCCCCCAGCATCACACTGCAGGAGGCGGATTAATCTCCAGTGGAGTAAATCGATCTCAGAATGTCTGGCAGTGCGGCAGGCTGGGGTTCTCGACCCCTCGAGGCCCCTCCTCTAAGCTCCGCCTCCGCAGGCCTGGGCGGCCCCTCCCACCTTCCCGACACTGCCACTGCCACTGCCACCGTCCTGGTGGGAACATTTTCTGCCCAGCTGTGGGCTGGAGGTCCCGAAGGTACCGGTGTCTCCCCGCTCTCCAGGCGCGCCCCACTTCGTGACTCAGCTTAGTGTTCTTTTGTCGGGGGCGGGGAGAAGTGTCCCGGTTCCGTTAAAAAAATGACCTAAGGGCGGGGAAAGAGGAAAGAGCCTGCAGGCCGCTGTCAGTGTGGGGCGGGTCTAGAGGTTAGGAACTGCGCCTCCGAGGCTGCGGTGGACCAAAGGCGCGGGGGAGTCCTACGACCCAGGCGGCCAGTAGGGGAGGTGGGCGGCAGGCACCAAAGGTCCGTCCCCTTCCTCAGCCCCGAGCCTCTGGGGCGTTGAGTGCTGGCTGGACGCTTAGGACCAAATCCTGACCTAGGGGCTCTCCCGTTGTAAAATGGCCATAATTATATCACCTACCTCGTAGGGTTGTTAAGAAGTGAAAGGAAACCGCTCCGCACAGTACCAAGCACGGAGTATCCGAAATAACCAGCAGATTTTGCTCTTACTGCTCCGGGAGCGGGATTGAGTCGTGGTTCGGTAGAGTCTCGACTTTATTCTCAAGAACTGGGAAAGGTGGGCGTCTGGGCCGCGAGCCGGAATTGGCCGGGATCGACACCGCCCTCCACCCAGAACCCGGACGGGGGCGCGACGCAGAGGCGAGGAGGTGAAAACGTCCAGGCTCCAGAGCTAAGGCGGTGGCTTTGCCTTCAGTCGTCCACCTGTATCTCCTCGTCTGACAGGTGGGGCCCGGAGTCGGGCCACGCGGGGCCCGGAGGGAGGCCGAGGCCGGGGGCGCCGTCCTGCAGCGCCAGGCGGCCCCGCGCTCCGGGTCCCAGCGCGCGCAGCGAGGCCACGTCCGCGCGCAGCTCCTCCACGTCGCGCTTGAACTTGGCGCGCCGGTTCTGGAACCACGTGACCACCTGCGCGTTGGCCAGGCCCAGCCTCGCCGCCAGCCCGTCGCGCTCGGACGGCGCCAGGTACTTCTGGAAGACGAAGCACCGCTCCAGCTCCAGCACCTGCTGCGCGGTGAAGGCCGTGCGTGACTTTCGCCGTCTGCGGCCTGCCGGGCCGAGGCCCGGAGCACGCGGGGCCGCTCCGCCTGCGGGGATAGGGCGGGGGTCCGTCAGTCTCCAGCCTGCGGAAATCGGGCTTCGGCCGGGAGGAAAAGCTGGGGATGCCGTCAGGCCGGGTGGGGGTGAGGGGACCGGAACTAGACCGTGGTCCCGTGGCGAACTGCGGGAGGGTCAGGCCGAAGAAGGGTGCGGGGACACAAAGTGGAACCAGCCACTGGGGTAGGGGAGGTGGCCCGAGGGGAGGAGGAGGAGGGCGCAGGGTCCGGCCGCCTGCGGCGGGGACTTCCAAGCCCGCGGGAGCCGCAGACTGAGCCGGCTTCGCAGGCTGCTGCAAAGCAGGGGCAGCTGACCCGCTCGGCGAGTGTAACGGGATCCAAATCGGGCCCTTCGTTAGACTCGTGGGTCTGTCGGGCCCTCTCAGCCTACTCTGGTTCAGTGACTCGCTCCCACCGTCCTCAAGCATAAAAGGTAGGTAGTGGGAGTACAAAGGGCGAGAAAAGGCAAAGTCCGGAGTCCTGGGGCCCTTGCCACACCAAGGCCCTTCGAGGCGGCCCCTCGAGAAGAGAGGAGGTTTGAAGCGGAGGAGCGTGTTCACCGGGAGAAGTCCGAGCCTCGCCTCCCATTGCTTTCTGCTCTGCTCTTGCCCTAACTCACTTGTTTACAGCCTCGGCTCAGGCCTTTTGTCTCCTTCTCTCCGGCCTTTCTCTGTCGCGATTGCCCCGCCTACAGCGAAAGGACCCAAGGGTCGCTCAGTTCTTAACAGCCCCGTCCTGCCCCTCAGCCTCCAGGAGCAGCCGCCGAGCCTGGAACTGACGGACGCGGAGGTGAGGAGCGGGAGGTGCGGGTCCCGCACGTGGGGCGGCGGGCAGGGGGCAGGTTAGAGTGGCGGCCAGAGCGAACGAAGGTGGAGACCGGGAACTCGGAGGAGAGGGAAGGGGAGAAGGCAGGCCAAGTGTCAGGGCGCGAGCCGGCGGCGCCGTACCTTCGGAGGGCTGCGGGGCGCGCCCGTCGGGTCCGCGGAAAGCTTTACTAGTCAGCTCCTCCAGCGCGCACAGAGGCGACCTAGGAGCTGGGCTCAACTCTGGGAGCGGCCCCGCCGACGGTCCTCGGGGGACCCTGCGCGGGCCTAGGATGTCTGCGATGCTGAAGGGCGTCTGGGTTGCCTGGGGCTCGGGTTCCGAGCCCATGGCTGGCCGGGCTGTGGCGGTCCTGCCGCCCGCTGCTCTCGACTCCGAAGCTGCCTGAGCCCCAGCGGGCGGCTCCCGATCTGGGCCCCGCGCCTCGGACCCGCCCCCCATGCTGGGCCCGAGCCCCGAGTGCCCCTCCTCCTGCGCGCCCACTCCCCAGCCCCGGGCCGTGGTGGGTCTGGAGCAGGGATATTTGTACAGGTTATGGAGACGCTCAGAGAAGCCGGTGCAAGAACCCTCGGGGCCCGCCACCCGCCGCTCCGCGCTGCCCGGCCCTGTGCTCACTCGGGCGGGACTCGTCCTGGGGGGCCCCCAGATGCTGGGGGCCGTACTCCTCGCCTAGCCGCCGCTCCGGCTCATAAACTCGTCAGCAATAAAATTGCTTTCTCTGGCTGTGACTGTGCCAATATCCCCGTTCTCACCCTAGGAAGGACCTCAGTCTCCTGACCTGGACCCTTCGTCCCCTCCCCACCTCTGCTGAAAACTCTTAAAGAGGTCCTGGCGGCTGGAAGTTATTAGTGCGGTGCGCAGGGCTGGGGGAACTCAAGAGTTGGAAGGACTTGGCTGGGCTGAGCGACTGCAACGGGGAATCGCGGGGACGCGATGCGCAAGCACGCGCAGGTGAGTGGACTGCGGCCGGCTCTGCGGCCGGACCCAAGGTTGTCCCAGCACGGCTCAGAGACCCCCGAGAAAGTCAAACCATCTGAAGAAGCGCCGGAGACCTGGTCCTCGGGAGAGAGGACCCAGGAGGAGTCTTTGCCAGTAAAGACTGGCCTCCACAGAGGGCCTTCTGGTTACACATCAGTCTGTTAGGGTATATCTTTGTCTCCTTATTAAGCGCCTGTCGTCCAAGTAGGAGTTTTCTAGCCCGGGGAGGCCCAGAAACCGCCCAGCAGGAGCGGTGGTGCGAGGGCCAGTGCCCTATAGATGAGTGACTTGAAGGGCAGACTTCATACCCCCAACCCGATTCCAGGACAGAAATCCCTGCCAAGCCAAATTCTAAGGCCTGGGATATTCATTCCCATTTTATCCGCATCCGTGTGTCATTCTCTCTTCTCTCCCACAGCTAATCTAGTCTGGGGCTCACGCCAGGGCGAGCACCTCCACAGCCCTGGTTTACAGGGACAGCGCAGTTCCGGGACAGTGCCGCTCCTCTAGCGGGGGCTCAACGAGGCAAACCCGGGCAGCGAGCGGAGTCTCCGCCCAGAGCCAGAGCAGCCTGCTCTCCCGGGAACTCACACTCGGAACTCGCTGCTATGGGTTTCTTCTAGTTTTTTCAAACAGTGCCATAAAGAAGCTGGCTGGTCACCCCTGGACTGTCCATTCTGTCACCTAGTCTCTGTAAACCTCTGTAGTGATCTTCTAGGTCCACCTGTCTAGCCCCTGAAACAAGTAGAGCCTGTAGTTGGGATGTCCCCAACAGAGCTTGGGAGATCTGAGGCACCTGGGCCAAAGATTCCATGACAGAGACAGGAAGACACTTTGATCATGGTGGTTAGGGAACTGCAGGTTGAGGCACTTACCTACCCCACCCAACAGAGGTGCACAAACACAGGGTCTTAGTGAGAGCTCCCTCCACCGACCATCCCATCCCCCATATACACACAGACACTCGCCAAGTGCAGGTCTGAGCAACTCAGCCCAGTGGGTCAGAGAGCACAGTCAGGCCACAGCAGAAAGCCGAGATGCCTCAGGACCTTGTTAATTGTTTATCAATCGTTGGGGGCAGAGGAGGGCCAGAAGAGACCCTCCTAGCTGAAGGCCTTAGCCCTTTGAACCATCCCGGTGGTTTCACTTAATCTGAAATTAAAGAGGGTCCCAGGAGGCTGCAGGAACTGGCTAGCTCAGGTCCCAGACATGTCACTAGAAACTACAGCTTCCACTCCTGCGCCCTCTATGCGGCCTTTGTCATCCCTTCTGCTCTCGATTGCCAGTGTGTGTCTGTGGGGCGTGTGGGGCTTTCCTGAGGGCCTTTGCTGTCTCTCCTGCCCGTCCACCTTTGCCCTGCAAGTGGGCTCGGGTAATGGGGCTGGACAGTGGGGTTCGGCAATCCCCACATGAGTTTGGGGAAGGAGGGGGCAGGAGAGACGAGTGATGGGAGGAGGCTGCCGACAGCAGAGCCCAACTGATGTCTTCCCAGCGGCCAGCGACGTGTCCAGATGATTGTGGGGCCACAGGAGGGGACTTTTCCCAGCGAAGCATCTGGAATCTGAGCTGGGGAGAAACTGGATCCTGGGAGTGGGTCGGACGGAGGAGGGTGAGTGATTAATGAGGAAGATTAAGAGATTAAACCTGGGCTCTGGGCTTTCGGGCTGCCCCCACCCCAGTTTGGGAGCCCAGCCCCAATCCCTTGGAAGACAGGCTGCAGTGCTCCCTGATGCGTGCCTCTTCCTCCCCCAGCCGAGGTCCTCACCGGAGCGACCCTGCCCTCCAGCGTTTTCCTGCCCCGGCATTCCCGAGCAGTCCCTGGAGCCTCCCTCAGATTCCCCTCGTTGCTCTTTTTAGACACTTCAGGGCTCCTCTGCCCTCTCTCCTTGGAAAGAGCGCCACATTCAGATTTTCACTCCCTCGGGAAGGTGCCTCAATTCCCTTACATTTTTAAAGAATTATTTATTTATTTTTAGACAGAGGGGAAGAGAGGAGAGAAAGAGAGGAAGAGAAACGTCAGTTGGTTGCTTCTCCCACGCCCCCTGTTCGCATCCTCCCTGCCTGAGGATAGTGGATTGACCCCACAACCTCGACCTGGGCCCAGACCGAGACCTCTTGCCTTTGGGTACAAGGCCCAACCAACCGAGCCACGTGAGTCAGGGCTCAGCTCCCTTTTAATGATGCTGTCTCACGCCTGCCCTCATCGCCCCTTTGATTTCCCTCTCCTCATCACCCCCACCTTGTCACTCATTCCCCAACACCACACCTCTCACCCACTCTGCCCTTCTCAGTCTCCCATCTGGCAAGTTCCTCTACCCAGGCCCACTCCAGATAGACCCCTCTTCTTTGGTACGGAGGTCTATTCAATAAACCGCCTTTAGTCTCTGGGTTTCTCATTCCGGGCATTTCCCTGAATTCTGTGTGTATGTGGGAGGAGGGGGACATGTATGGGTATCCTCAGAATAACGCCCCCCTCCCCGGGGCGGTGCAGAGGGCAGTCTCAGAAATGTGCTTGCCACTCCCCGCCCCCCACCCCTCAAAGCCTTCAGCCTGCATGCGAGCTAAGTGGGTGGGGGTTTAGGGAGGAAACTCCAAGCAGAGGAGCTTGGGCGGGACATCCATCCATCTCGCACACTTCTGGGATGGTTTTTTCTTTCAGACAATGTTACTGCAGAGTGAACTGATTTAAACACTGAGATTTTAGATTCGATACTTCTAGGGACTCAAGTTTGTGAATTCTTTCTGTCCTTTTACACCGGTTCACAAAGAGCCCTGCGTAACCGCTGCCAGCTGAGGGGGTGCTGCAGGCTGGGACGCAGGAGCACGGAGAACTCAGACACTTCCGCCCCCACACAGACTTACGCACACCCTGAGACTCACTGTCGCGGGGAAGTCCATTGTCCTCACCCCTTCCTCCTCCTCCCCCGTCCCGGGAGTGACTGGCTGGGCTGAGAAGTACCGGATTTCTTCGGTGCCACAGGCGGGGCGGGGTGGGGGGCGGGCGCTGGGGGAGGCGTGCAAATCTTGGCGCCTCCTCCCCCAGGCCAAAGCAGCTAGGTGAGAAAGGACAGCAGAGGCACCCACGGGGGTGGCTAGGGTGGCCGGGCCCCTGCAGCTGAGGACTAACATTTACACCTGAAAGTACTGCGGGGTCAAAGGCCCTGGGGACAGGGCCAGTGCACGTGTGCTGTGTCACAGAGCCCAAGAGAACCCGTGGAATTGACTCACCTGTCCTGGTGCAGGTAGAGAACTGAGTAACCCCAGGAGATAGGGTCTGTGTGGAGTAGACCAGGAAGGGGGTCGATGAGCCCCTAGATGAGGGGGAGAGGGACGAGGGACGCAGAGCCCACAGCTGGCCTACGTCAGCAACCTGGGAAAAAGCCCCACAGCTGCTGCTGCTGCTGCCGCTGCAGCCGCTGACAGGCAAAAGTGAGGCTCCGTTAAGGTGGGGTGAGGTGGGGCAGCTGCTCCACCTCAGGTCCAGGCCTGAGTGCCTTTGGCTGCTCCTTAGCCACAGGCCATGTGTTTGTCTTCAGAGGCCTCATTCCCCAGCTTGGCGTTCAGGCCTGGGGGCCTCTGGCAGCCTTGTATTCTAGCTGGACATTCTTGACCCAAGGCAAACCCCAATCAGACTACTCCCCAATTCCTGAAGCTGCTTGGGCCAAGAAGAGATCCCAGGGGCGTCTCTATTCTTTCCTCCTAGCTCACACCCCTCCCTTCCAAGTCACTCCTCAAAAACACCCTTTCACACGTGAACTGCCTTGGGAAGAGCCTAAATGCAGAGTGCTCTACTGCAGCTTAAATTCCAGAAGAGGGTGGGGACCCTGGGATAGACAGAATTAATCCAAAATCTTGAGATATACGAGGTCTGTCTGGAAAATATCATAGACCTTTAACATTTTCCAGATAGAATGTCAGGAAAATAAGAGACATTTATAGAAGATACAACAAACATTGTACACAGGACAATGCCATCTCAGTCCCCTTCAAAGTAGGCACCTTGGGACCTCGCACAGTTCTCCCAATCACCATTAGCTACCCTGTCATATTTTCCTGAATCTCATCAAAGGTCTGAAATCTCTTCCCTTTCAAAAGTGATTTTAGTTTTGGGAAAAGGAAGGTTCCAGGGTGCCAGATCTGGGCTATGGGAGGCTGAGTCACCTGTGTGAGTTGATGTTTGGCCAAAAAACTCTGCAGGAGACCTGACCCATGAGTAGGCGCGCTGTTGTGATGAAGCTGCCAATCACCAGTTGCCCACAGCTGCAGCCTTCTGAATCATCAAACTTAATGCAAAATTTGATGCAGATTTGTTGCTCTACTCCAGGGGTAGTATGTAACCTTTTGGTGTCTCTGGGCCACACTGGAAGAAACGTTGTCTTGGCCCAAACATTACATCGTGACACGTAATCACAAAAAACATCTAATGTTTTAAATAAATTTACAGTTTTGTGTTTGGCCACATTCATAGCCATCCCGAGCAGCTTGCTGCCCATGGGCGGCAGGTTGGACACCCCTGCTCTTTCATTCTGAATGACCAGCCACACAGTACACAGGCTCACTCAATGGCACCTACCGTCCCCACTGACTAGGTACAGTGAAGTTGTGACTGTTCATGCATGTGCTTTTCAGTCAATTCTCCTTGGCGGCCAGGTTACATCAATGTCGTACAAACCATGATCATATTAACAATGTTGGGACTTTTTCTGGACAGACCTCATATTGTGGTGTAGAAACAGGCCCCGGGTCTGTGGAAGGAACCCTGTTCTGATTGAGGGAGTGTTTCCTAGAGGAGGTGACACACAGGACAGCTGAGTACGGCCGGGGGGGGGGGGGGGGGGGGGAATCCAGGGCATGAGGTCTGAAATGTGGGGAGTTTTCAGAATCTTAGAGATAGGACCTCAGTGAGGTGATTTAGGTTTTAAACTTGGGATCTGGTAACACTTTCGCTGCCTGCTCCATCCCGCTTGTCCCAGCCCATTTGTTTTCTTAATCAGGCCTTAGGCCTCCCTCTCTTACTGTCCCAGCCAGGCAAGTTTCTGGCTATCCCAATGAGAGAACAGGGACACTGGCTGGGTTCATTTCCAGAGCCCAGTGCTGAGGGCCAGACTCATGAGGACAGGAATGTTTGCTGAATTATCTGTACAGCGCCTTGGAGTTGCCTTTGCTGTCCTGGGCACCAGCTCCCTCTCCACAACCTGGCTTCCCCTGACCCAGGTATACCTGAAGGCCGACTGAATCTTGTATACACAGCCGGGTCTCCAACTCTGACTATCCCTGTGGTATGCCCCATGCCCCCATTTTCTTAGACTCCTCACAGTCCAACTCTTTGGGTTTTTCTTTAAAATATCACTCTTCAGTTCTGCACTGGCCACTGTCCAACCCAAGCCCTACACTCACCACTCTTGAATTAGGACCCCTCCACTCAGGCCTGCATCACAGGCTGAAACACCCAGAGACAGTGAAAGCTCCCCTCCAGAAAAACTTCCCTTCACCAAAAACAGCTGGCGTGGGTGGCCTGGCCTCACTTAGCTCCCTTTCTGAGGTCCTCTACCCCTCTTCTCTGGTCATTCATTGAGGGACATTCTTCTTGATGACACTCAGAGGATTTCTGAGAGAAGCAAGACAGGACAAAGCATGAGTGTGTGGTAGAAAAGAAGGAAGACAGATGCTTTATTAAAGTTTTTATTTCAAAAAAATAAAGCCACAATTAATTTCACATAAATATCTGGGGAGGGAAGAGGGGAGGGATGGGATAGAGGCTTGGCCCCTACCTCCTCTTCTCTTTCACACTGTATTGTAAAAGCAAAGGGGATGGCTAAGGGGAGAGCAAGAGGGAGAAGTAGTCAGTGGGAGAGTCCTTACCTAAAAGGCCCCCTCAGCCCACCCCTGCCCGGGGACTGCCTTGGACCTGGCTCACCTTGCCGAACCAGCGGGAGAGCCATATCTGCTTCATGGTCATGTGATCAGGGAGCACTTCATTGTCAAAGAGGAGCTGCACCTAGAAGGGAGATGGGGTACATGGTTTTACAAACTGTCCTCTCATGCCATCAAAAACTAACCTGGTCCACTATAAACTCTCTCCCTCCCTTTGTGGCCCCTCCCACTCCCAAAAGAACCTACTGTGGGAATACTCACATGCTGGGGATTTAGCATCAACTGATGGCACAGGACCCTCCGGAGATGGCGAACCTCAGCTCTAACAGAACATCGGACATATTTATTCTGGGGGTAGGGAAAGTAAGGAAGAAGACAAGGTGTGTGAGGGAAGGGCCCTAGAGAAGGGAGTCCCCTTAGAGAGGCCCTCCCTTAGCCCCTCTCACCTGCAGAACACTTTTATTCTTGTCTTTGCCAGAACTGGGGGAAACAGACACAGGTTAGAGAGCCCTATCTTTCCTTATCCCCATCCAGAGCTGTGACAGACTCTCTTCGAGGGAACAGACACTCCCTTACTGGGAGCTCTCTCCCTGAGCCCCTCCCTGGCTCTGGGTCATTGACACTGTCACTTCAGACAGCCCAAGACCTGCCCCTCACCTCAGCCGCTCCAGGCATAGGCTCAGCTGCTCATCATAGCGATAGTAGTGGGCTTTAGAATGGTCGAAGCTACTGAAGGGGAGGCCAAGGTTGCTCAGGGCTGGCTCTGAGAAAGACAGAGTAGCAGCACAGGTTCCACAGTCCTTTTTCCCCAGAGAGCAAAACTGGGCAGGAAGAATGCTCTGGGGGCTTTACCTTACCCTCCTGCTGTCAAGGGACATACCTTCCCCGCTGGGCTGCGTGACTCGGTCCAAGCCTCGAGACTGGTAGAATTCTCGAATCCGTTTCTCTTCACCTAGAAGGGAGTGAAGGATGAGCAGTAAAGTATTAGCTCTCCCTTACTCTGCCCTTCTGGCTGTCAACCTCTTTATTTTAAAATATTTTATCTATTTTTAGAGATAGGAGAAGGGAGAGAGAAAGAGAAGGAGAGTAGCACTGATTGGTTGCTTCCTGTACCCACTGCAACTGGAGACTGCTCGCTCGCAACCCAGGCATGTGCCCTGGCCCAAGGGTCGAACTGGCAACCTTTTCCTTTGTGGGTGGATGCCCCACCAACTGGGCCACAGTAGTTAGAGCAACCTCTTTACCTACATTAGTTCCACAAAGCCCTTGTCACCTCAAGCTGCTACCTAGCATCAGTCCTCTAGAAGTCCCTCAGAGTCAGGCTGGTCACTCACTATCTTGCAAGCCAGGCACTAGCTTGTACACGATGTCCTGCATGACCCGGTCCAGTTTAAGGTTGAGCAGTGGCTGTGTCTCGTGGATCTTAATGTTGCACATGGGGCAGTACTTGCTGGTTTGGAGGTACTTCACGATACAACTCTTGCAGACTGCAGGAATAGAAAAGCAGACTCTCAG